TAGAATTTAAAACATTCAGCCATATACACGTATGTATTTAGACCCACTTCGAAAGTGAGACGAGAAATGCTCTCGAAGCATTTCTTGAGGTGAGGCTGAACCGCTTTGGGGTTCTTCGTCTGCGAGAGAATCTCCAGGAGCTCTTCATCGCTGAGGAAGAAGAACCGAGGAAACGCCATCCTCTTGGTCTCCAGGTATTCACTCAGTCCTTTTTGAACCTGTGGAAGAAATAGAAAACGCTGTATTACATGAAAGAATGTGTGGTGCGTGCGATACTTATAACGCAAAACGCATGTCGCATATGCTTATGTTGCAATTTATGTACTGTTTATTTACAATTTATGTATTTAACCCTCGCCCTGGCAGGGGGGGGGGTCGATGCGACCCCCCCCTAAGGTTTTTCGAAGATAGCGTAAAAACGGCGGCGCGCAGCGCCGCCAAATTTGGCACAGCCTATGGGGCAACCTTTTTACATATTACCTGAAAATTTCAGGTCCGGGTGACCTTGGGTCAGGTCACCAGGTCAGAAAAACCGGTACAAGGTCATGGTCAAATTTCAATTTTCTTTTTGCACCTGTCCAACTCACAGTTTTCGACTGATTTCCTTCAAACTTCCAGGATGTGCTAAGTTCACCAAGTTGTATAACATATATTCCGGGTTTTTTGAGGTCACTGACCTGAGGTCAGTTAGAGGTCATTACGTCGTAATGTTAAGCCTATGGGAAAATACTAAATTCGGAAAATACTGGAGATATCCGCTTCGTTCTATCACTTTTGTGCTTTGTGCTTTTGAAACCACAGTAATTAACAGCAGGTCACTTGGTGCTTCTTTGTTTGGTGTACTTGTCCATGGGTCAGGTCAAATGAGGTCAACTGAGGTCAAATGACGTTTTTGCCAATAACTTGGCACATAATGACGCTAGAGCTTAAAAAATGGTATCATTGTGTTCCTCGTGATCCGCCGAATCGAATGATATGCGATATGCTGCAATTTGGCTAACTTGAACTTAATTTATTAATTTAAGTTTACTTAAAATTTAAGAAAAACTTAAAGTACACTTAAGCAAGCTAAAAAGTATATCATTCGACGCGCCTTGACGTGCTGAGTTTACTGGTGCTTTTCTTTTTGCTCTATCTTAATTAGATCAAAAGTTATAAGCGAAAAACTTTTGACCTGTTTTTAGCGAAATTTTTACATTTATACCCCACAAAACCCCCCTAAATATTGACCTAGAGCAACCAAATTTGCACAGGGGCGAGAACTCCAGGGGGCCCACCTACCTACCAAATTTGGTGTTTCTAGGTGCCATGGGAGCCAATCGCGAGGGGGGGGTCGCATCGACCCCCCCCTGCCAGGCCGTGTTATGAAAAATGCCCTGCCAGGGCGAGGGTTAAAATACGTAAAATCTACACGTTCCATTCAGACATTAGAGTTACCCTTTCAAAACTGCAAAACGTTCGGACAAATTTAGACCGCACATGAATTAAAAGCGAATGAGTACCTTTAAAGCTACCTGGCGCTCTGGGCCAGGCATAGCACGGCACCTATGTCAGATAGGTCACAAGTGATATGTTTGCATGCACTGACCTGCTCCAACAGATTGTTGCAGTCCCTCAGGTTGTCCAGAAGTCTCTGATCGGGGCAGAGCTCCATCACTTGCTGGTTTTCTAGGGCCTTCTTCATGATCTTCTTCCAGGTTTTCTCCATGGTGTTGTACCGCTTGGACTCTACAGGCAGCTGCCTGCTGATGTCGTCACTGCTGAAGATGGGCTCCAGGTAGAGCCAGGCTCTCTGGCAGGCCACCCACTCGTCGAAGACGTCCTGAACCAGCATCAGCTTCTTCTCCCACTGGGCGATCCGCTCTTCAAACGGAGCCTTGAACGGTGAGAACACCATCGACTGGGTCATCACCACGTGGTCATCCAGCAGCTGGTAGGCCTCGTCGCTGAACTTGAGGATCGAGAGGCCAGTGTCCTTGTAGGGTAGGAACTCCAGCGCCATCGCTCTCCATTCTGACTCCATCTTGTCGAGTGCCTGCTCGATGCTGTACTCCTTCCCGGCGATCTCACCTACCTCGGCGATCTGGTCCGTGTAGTTCTGCAGACCCATTTCCAGACACTTCGCAAAGGTCAGCGTAGCCTTCGGCACGATCTTGATACCGATCAGGTCGGAGAGCTTCTCCCAGTGACGGTGTCGCATGCCAGGATTGCGGAGACCCATGATCAGTGGGATGTGAGGTTTGAACGCTTCGATCTCATCGCGAATCTCCTCGGCCACTTTCATGATTGCCGGCATCTCCTCAAAGTTCTTGATGGCCTTGTGCATGGTCTTGAACGCTTCTGTCACGTTTCGTTCGATGCTTTCGGCATCCACTCCCTGGAGAGGATCGTTCATCCACGCTTCCTGCCAGCGCAGCCAGTCACTCGCAGTCAGCCAAAGTGCGCGGTATGGCTCACAGTCCTTGATCAGCTTGGCGAGATTGTCATATGGAGTCAAGTCCATGCCAAACAGTCTCTGTCGCTGGTTCAACAGCTGGCCTTGCTCCTTGCACTCGTTGAGCTGCTTCCAGACTCGTCTGACCTCGTTAGCGACCTCGTGTGCCTTAGTGATGTCGTTGAAGGCCGTCATTCCGGCTACAAGCATGGTGAGGTTGTCTATCTTGTCGTTTAGCGTCCCCTGGTCTTGCAGCTGACGCTCCTTAAACTTGTCTTCCTCCTCGATCAGACGATCCGTGGTTTCTTCGAGTAGAACTTCGATCTTGTATGGCCAAATAGACATGTCACCTTTGGCACTAAAGTCACTGTTAGACAGAGGATGATAAAAGAAGTCTAGCACATCATAGTCCTTGATGAACTTAATCGTGTTGTCCTTCTCAGCGCGAACGAGCTCTGGCACAGTGTCCATGAACTCCCTGAGCTCAGTCACGTCTTCGATCTTGGAGCACTTCGTGGTCATCCTGCTCGCCATCTTCATGTAAGCACGGTTGACTTCTTCGGCCTGCATGAGTAGTATCTGTGCAAGATGATCCAGTGTGGCATCGATCAGCGCCTGCTTCTTCTTCAGGATAGCCGATCGCAGCAAGTCTGTGTTCACGTAGAACGGTCCAATGACGACATGAGATGGGAGCGCTCGCTCGGCCTCGTCATAGTCGTCGCGGAGCACTGCGACATCGTCCTGGAAGGTCTGTGCGGTTGCCTCTTCATCATACTTCTCTGCCAGATACTTTGGGATATCCAAGTTGTAGATCCACTCATACTTAGTGTATGCCTTGGCATACGCCTTCATGGGAATGGCAATCATCTCCATTGTCTTCTTGAGACGATCTCTCAGGACCGTGATCTCTGGATTCATCAGCCCTATGGAGCTGAGCGGCGTGCGGTCAGGCCAGAAGATGTTGTCCAGCACCAGAGGTTCGAGTGGCGGCACGTCGTGTGTCACTGTCACACCATGTTCGAACACGTTAAGCATCACCTTGACGAACCGTTCCATGGGTGTGGAGTACAGAGGCCCGTTTGAGTCAATCTGCAGCTCCACGTAGAAGAACGGCTGAGCTGGGCCGATCATCGGGTGTTGCACCAAGTCCTCGCCCCACTCAAAATTCTCTTCACAGGACAAGAACTTGCCGCATGTGCTGTCCATGGTGTCCACCAGTGCAGCGCAGGAGTCTCTCGCCAGATACCGGAGGGAGTCTTGCATCATGACGCGAATCAGAGCAAGGATCTTGCATAGCTTTGACATGCAGAAGATCTCCCACTTCGCCACGAACAGATCAAACCAGCCCTTACCCACATCACGCAGGTTGTTGTGAAGGTGGTCCCTGAATCGTGCCAGCCAGAGAGTCTGGAGGTGGGTTAGGACCTGTTCATGCAGGTTCATTTGGATGGTCTCGAAGTCGTCGATCTTGAGAGGCTTTGCCACTTTCAGCACGAACATCTGCATTTCGCGCACTTTCAGACACTCCATGTTGACGTTCTGCATAGCAAAGATGGCTTCCTTCTGCGTCAGGATGCTGAGCACCTTCACGATGCGGAAGGTCTCGGCGAAGTCAATGTGGTACACCCCGTTGCGGTCGAAGGCGCGCTGACCCTGCAGCGGGTTGTCCTGCGGCGGAGGACGCAGCTTGACGATCTCACGCAGCTTCTGGTCACGATGCAGTGCTGTGTCCAGGATCAGACGGTTCTGATAGCGGAGAAAGTCCAGCTGCAGCTCGTCCTGCAGCTTCAGAACGCGCTCATTACAGTCTTGAACCTTCAGTGGCTTCCCAGGGGTTGAGCGAAGGAATCCCATGATCCGAGTAACCTGAAAAAACAAGTTCATTGTTTTCAGGGGCAAGACTACTCGGCTGATAAGCAAGCCCTATTTTGCTCATCATTTTACCTAAAATATATCCATGACCAAACCATTACTTTATATCACAGGACACTGAACGTACTCTGACAGTAATATCCTATTGTTCAAAAGCAGTGCACTTTTTGCCTCATCTGCCGTGGCACCTGACCGTGGTGTCCGTGGCACCTATGACTTACATAGACCATTAAAATGAGTCTTCCTTCTATTGACACCGGAGCTATGAGCTCCTGTCAGGATATTGAAAAAAACTCGATTCTAATCTAACCATTACACTCAGTTGTGAAAAACATTTGAACTAGACAATCGAAACAGTCTAGGTATATTTCACAGACGTCAGCAGTTGTTGTTAGGAGATCACTAAGACTGAACTTTAACTTGGAAGCGTATGAACTGCCCAAGAACAAGGTTGTTGATGCGAACCACTGTCGGTGGCAGATCATAGCTTGTGATCTTGCACCAGATGCAACAAATTTTTCAATTACAGTGGAGTGTTAATTATATAGGAAATACATTCATATCACAGCATATTCTTGTGTTTGTAAATATGCCCATCGCCGATCGTTGTTCATCAACTGTCATGTTTCACCGAAATGAAAACAAATTTAAGCGATAGCCTAGCTCTCAGACTGGCGATGACAAAAATATCCTCTTCTAATAGGTGACTTAATCACATGTATTTCCAACTTCATAGAAACAGCTAAACAGTGGTAAAGCGCCCCTTTTTAGCATCGCACGACGCAGCGATCATGAGATATTCTACCCACCTGTTCGATGTTGAGCTGACCAAGGAAGGAGGTGGGCATGCAGTCCACGTAGAGGTGATACCGCAGCAGGTCCTGCATGATCTGACGCAGACGGACAGCGGCCTGGACGCGCTCACAGAACCTGGCCGGGTCCTCCGCGCAGAACATGACATAGATGCGCGGCAACAGGAAGTACTCGCGGACGTCGATGCGCCTCAGCATGTAGAGGGCTCGCGCCGGGTGGTAGCCGATGACTGCCGCCGGCGTCCAGACGTGCGGTCCCGACGATAGGGTGAAGATGATGTGTCGAGCCGTCAGCGCCTTGGACAGCGGGTCGACGACCATAGAGAGCCGACGCGACTGTTTCTCCTTCGGCAGGAACGCCATGACCGGCACTGGGTGCTGGAAGCCGTTCTCGACAGCGATGGTCAGCCACTCCTCTGGCAGCCTGTCGTCGAAGGAGGTGTCGTCGAACCAGTGCAGAGGCAGTGTGCGTGCCGTACGAGCGTTCGCGTCCGGCTCCAGGTCTAGCGCCTGCATGCGTCGTAGTCCAAGAAACTCCTCCAGGCTGTCGATATCGCTTTCACTGATGTCGCTTAAGTTTTCTACAACGCCTTCATCGAGGGCCGGACTTAGCTCGGCTCTCTCGGACTGCTCTTCGGGACCGGCCGATGGAGGTTTTGGATGTTCCTTGCCGAGCTCCTCAACAGCAAGTGACTTGCGCAGTGGATCGTCCCTGGTCATCGTGTACACCTCGATGGCCAAATTCTTGCCAACCGAGAATCGTTTCGGAGTTGGGGCTCTACGGATGAGGGAGGAGCCATGCGACTCTTTTCTCTTCTTCAGAATAGACTTTCCCCTGGTGCGACCCTTTCCTTCTTTCTCACCAGTTTCGTCTGAGGCCAGTGCTTCCTTGTCTGCAGATCCTCGACCACTTGATCCCTCGCCAGAACTCTTACTCCCTTTACTTTTAGCAGAACCTCCTGATCCAGAATGCTTGCTTTTTGCTGATCCTGATGAACTGGAATGCTTGCTTTTTGCGGAGCCCTCACGGCTCGCTGTCTTACTGTCCTTGATCTTCTCCTTCGCAGACCCATCTCTGCTAGAACCAGAGCTCTTCGCGGAGCCTTGTTTGCTACCACTCTGACTTGAGCCTTCTTTGCTTGATCGCTTGCTTCCACCAGAACTACCTTTACTATCACTTTTGCTCTTAACTGAACCTTCCTTGCTGTCGGAGCTCTTGCTCTTGGCTGAACCTTCCCTTTCGTCGGCGACACCAGCCCCTTCTTCTTCTTCCTCCTTTTCTTTTTCGGCTCCGGTCGGTGGTTTGACGGACTTCCTATGCGACTTCCTTCGACTACCTCGTCTGGGAACATACATGGACTGTCGCTTCACACTGCCAACGTTGGATTCATCTTCCTCGTCGCTTCCGAACTCGGGCAGCTCTTCACCACTGTAGTACTCTTCCTCTTCCTCTTCTTCCTCGTCTGATATGTACATGTCTTCTTCTTCTTCCACTCCACCATCAGCAAGCATCCCAGCCATCACCTGAGAACGCACAATTGATTATTGATTTTCATGCGTACCTACCAGACATTGACCTCAAACCACTACTTAGATTACATCTTTAACTTCACTCTACACTTTAAATTATCATCATTCCTCGTCTCTCTTTCCCCCCCCCCCCTCTCTCTCTCTCTCTCTCTCTCTCTTTCTCTCTCTCAATCTGTTGTCATTTTCCCTTGCTTTTCCAAAGCTCACCCTTTAACCCTCGCCGGCACAGGGGGGGGGGGGGGTTGATGCAACCCCCCCCCTAAGGTTTTTCGCGAATAACTCGCGTAAAAAGCGGCCGATCGCGACGAAACTTTCAGTACCCTCGCATTGATCAATTTTACACCTACCCTGAAAATTTCATGACCCTGACCCAAATGACCTTTGACCTGTGACCTCTTTTCTGAGACCATGTTTGGCCGGAATCGCGATTCGGCGTATGTCGGCTCGCATTAGCCGCGCGTTTGCAAGCTTTTCGTGGTTTCAAACGTTCAAACATGTGATTTGATGTTGCTCCCATGCATTAGGGTGGGTGTCAAGGTCACCTGAAGGTCAGGTCAGGTCATTGACCTTTGGTGACCTCGGGTGACCTCGGTTCACTTTTTCGAGTTTTACATGTTTCTAGGCTAGTTTTTGGAGCTGAATTCGAATTTAGCATCCATTTGAACATTTACGAAGTAGTTTCGGTGCCTTCGTAACATGTTACGAAGCTGTCAGAGGCGGTTGACACGTATTACGAATACCCGTCACAACCCCTACCGGTTGACCTGACCTGACCTGACCCGACCTGGTCTAAATGCTTAAAGACATCATCTATGATCAAAACTAACACGATATTCGTGATCAGCACCCCGGAAAACCACATAGCAGCCACGCTTTACGACTTTCTAACAGGTTCCGATTTTCCCGGTTTTCGGGTCATTGACCTGACCTGGAAGGTCACCCGATGACCTAGGACCTTAAAATTGGGTATCATCGGCTTCGTCTCGTGACGGGCAACACGCTCGTTTTTTCCGCGAAGCTCTAGCTCGATCAGGGGCCAAACGCGAGGGGGGGGTCGTACCAACCCCCCCCCCCCCCCTTGTGCCGTCGAAGGACGCAAAATGGCCTGTGCCGGCGAGGGTTAAGCATGATTTTTCTTCCTACACCTCTGGTTCATTCTTGACTCGCCTGATGAACTCTGGAAGTATCATTCACGTACACTTTAACTGCAATAAGCATGAATGTGGTGACACCCATTCTTGTTGCTTTTGCCTTATTCATATTTCATAACCTTCCAACCTCCTCAGCTTCCCACCCGTCTCTTGTGCCACCCCAGCGGCCTTTTCAGCAGCGCCTCACCCCTCACCAAACCATTCCACTACCATCATTCTCTCACCTCCTCCAGAGGAGTCACAGTTGGCAGGATGCGGGGCGGCGGTGGCCGCTCGGCGCACGGATCAGTCGGCGAGTTCAAGTCCGGGGTGAGCAGGTCGGTGTCGACGCCAGCCTCCTGCAGAAGCTGGCCGATGTCCTGTGAGAGGAACTGACGGCGGCGCCTCTCGACGGCCACCCGCCTCGGACACGAGCCCGGAGGTACTTGGTAGGCCATCTGAAGCTTCGGGCGGAACGAACTCTCCGGGAAGTATCTGGTGGTAGGAGTGGTGGAGTCATATTACATATAGCTAGCATAAAGAGTACTTACTTGACGCATTATTAGCCGTTTTCACGACGGGGTATCCGGTGAGTGCACCTAATTTGACCAAATCTGCACCTAACATGCACCAGATGTGCACCAAATGTGTACCAGATGGCCGTCGTAAAAACGGCTATTATTATTTTTATCAGCCAGCGCCAAATGTTTATATTTGGCATGGGCTGGTCTGATACGTAACTATACAACACCACATAACAACAGCAAACACCAAACCGCACACTGTTTCGTAGCATATTTGTCAACTTAAAAATGTCATTAGTCATTACGTTCGTGGATGATCTTTTTTTTTTGGATGATATTTCTTTAGTGTGTTAGGTGGTGAATATGTACTCGTACAGCTATTAGCCGTTTTCGCGACGGCCATCTGGTACACATTTGGTACACATTTGGTCAGATTTGGTGCAGATTTGGTCAAATTAGGTGCATTCGCCAGATAGCCGTCGTGAAAACGGCTATTATATAGCTAACAGCTCACATAGGTTTTCGCTTGCAGCCAATTAAATTCAAAGAGAGCTGGTGCCGAAAATTTTAGTCAAATGTCAAAATTTTAGTCAACAATCAACAAAACTTGATATCGTAATAAAAAAACAGTTCAACAAACCACGATATCGAATGATATCGTGGTTCGAAGCATCAAAACGTACTTATAATTTTATTAGCTTTTATGCTTACTTGATAGTATCGTCTGTGACATACTCTCCCAGAAATAAGTCACTCTCCTGTTCGTTGAGATCTTGGTTGGGATGTACATTGTCGTCCTCTGAAAAGTGTACAAAATATTGACGTAAATATTACAGGTTTTGGGTTGTCCTTACTTTCTAAGGCAGCATATTCTGTAAAAAAAAAAACACACACACACACACTTTCTATCGCACCTGTTTCGAAGGTAATTGGTAGCTTGCACGTTTTTTTGCTCAAAGCGATTTGATATTATTGCTATTTTCCTTATTTCAAATTCCACTAGAGTTGATAGCGATATTAACTTCAATTACATTCATCTCGTGATCGCAAGTGACTTTAAAATCCAGTAAAAATATATTATAGGCAGTTGTAATATATAGTTACCTAATACTGATGGAATAAAGATCTTACAATTATCCTAAAATATAATTCTTTTTCCGGGACCTTGGCAATCAGCGTGTGATGAAATGCATACATCAATTGATAGATGTTACAATATCCAAGTACTTACTGCACCGAAATGTTTCAGCCAATGCGCCTCTTGTCTCAACCTTGCTTTCCCAGCGTTTCTGAAGGTGTTGAAATGCTCCTGTTTTAGAATAAGGGTCATCTTGGTCTTCCTTTTTAGCATTTGTATCAGTAACAAGAGCCGAAAAATAAGAATGCTCCATGATACCGCACTTTTACTAATCAGCTTGCGTCAAAATGGGTATAAGCATTACCCTGGCTTGTTTCAACCTCATTTGAATGGAACACACCCCTAATGCTTTACAGCGCTGTTCTGCTAGAAGTTGCTGATAAGCGTTAGGCGATCAGTCATGAAAATGCTCCTGCATTTTTGACACTTCCAGACAATAATCCCACTTTTACTGCCCTCCGTGATAAACGGCTCTGCACCACAGATTCATCGCATCTGACAAAAAGAACCGTTATCTTTGAAGCGTTCCTTCTCTTGTTGCACTGCTCACAATAGCCGGTAGGATGAAAACTTCGGAATATGATGCTAAGAAACCGCAAAACACGTCAAAGTAAATTATCCAGACGGTCTGAAGCTAATGACTTGACCAAGGCCGGCTTGACTGGTGTTTTCAAAAACACACATCACTTGTCTGCGACTTTTCCCTTGACTTTTCCAACATTTCCATTGCATTTCCATTCCTCTTCGGCGTGGGTTATTTTAGAAGTTTCACTCCCCGACTGTCTTGCGCAGTTGCGTGCATAGGTCTTCCATTCTGACCATACGTTTGAACACTCGCGCATGTCACCTAGAGATCTTTCAGCTCTACCAATAGATATTCGTTTACGATGCCCTGGCGGTGTAATATAAGTATTTTGTTCCATCTTATTGAAATAATAGCTCTGACACAGTGGCGCAGCCAGGGGGGGGTCAGAGGGTCAGCTGACCCCCCCCGAAATTTCTGTCAGGGGCCCGCTCGAGAGAGAGAGAGGGGGAGAGAGAGAGAGAGAGGGAGAGAGGGAGAGAGAGAGAGAGAGAGGGAGGAGAGAGGCCATAATCTAATCGGACGAGCCCGCTTCGAGAAATGCCTACTGGGACACCACGGGTGAGGGGTCGGCCTGGGGCCCCAGGTGGACGGGGCCCGGGCCCCCGGGAGAACGGGCCCGGCCCCTGGGAGAACGGGCCCGGGCCTCCTGGGTGGATGGGGCCCGGGCCTCCTGGGTGGATGGGGCCCGGCCCCCCCGTTGATGGGTCTGGGCCCCGGGAGAACGGGCCCCGGGCCCCGGGAGATTGGAGAACGGACCCGGGCCTCCCGGAGAACGGGCCCGGGCCCCCGGGAGAATTGATCCGGGCCCCTGGGAGAACGGGCCCGGGCCTCCTGGGTGGATGGGGCCCGGGCCCCCGGGAGAACGGGCCCGGGCCCCGGGAGATTGGAGAACGGACCCGGGCCTCCCGGAAAACGGGCCCGGGCCCCGGGAGAATTGACCCGGGCCCCTGGGTTAACGGGCCCGGGCCTCCTGGGTGGATGGGGCCAGGGCCTCCTGGGTGGATGGGGCCCGGGCCCCCCGTTGATGGGTCCGGGCCCCCCGTTGATGGGTCCGGGCCCCCGGGAGAACGGGCCCCGGGCCCCGGGAGATTGGAGAACGGGCCCGGGCCCCCGGGAGAATTGACCCGGTCCCCTGGGAGAATGGGCCCGGGCCCCCTGGGTGGATGGGGCCCGGGACCCCCGTGGATAGGTCCGGGCCCCCGGTAGAACGGGCCCCGGGCCCCGGGTGGACGCCGGACCCCCGGGTGAATGGGGCCCGGCCCCCGGGAGAACGAGGCCCGGCCCCCGGATGGATGGGGCCCGGGCCCCCTGGTGGACGGGCTCCGGAGCCCCGGGTGGACGGGGCCCGGAGCCCCAGGTGGACGTGGCCCGGGCCCCCGTGTGGATAGGGCCCGGGCCCCTGGTTGAATGGGGCCCGCTAGGGTGACCCGCTTGCTCCGCAAAGCGAATAAGGGGTATTTTCGATCGGTGGGCGTTTGGTTGGTCTTGTGTCCGTGGGTGATGTATCCATTTCGGTTGATTGCTTTTTGACGGCTAAGCATTTTGGATTGGGAAAAAATATCCATTGCATCGAGGTGCTCGTGTCTGATAAGCATGCGTTCTACTATAGAACATGTCATGTGTAGTTTATAACAACGGTTGACGTAGGTTATTGAAAAATGACAGCCATCGATGAATTACTATGTAGAGGTTTCCAACATTTATATTTTTAAGAATACTGTTGCTCGTCATGCAAAAGCGATGATTGGATTTTGGACAAAATTGAATGCTCTTTCCAACTATGCCATTTTCAACTGTCAAACGTACCAGGTTATGCAGTAAAACCCGTGTAATTAAGTAAGTCATTAACAAATACCATTCTCTCCAGCGATTTGTTCCACCTTGTTTTTGATCAATTAGCTTTTCACAATTTTTCCATGAGAGGCGGAACATTTCTTTTGCCAACAGGCGTTGTTTGAACCCGCTCCGTCAAACAGTCACCCGAAAATAGCATTAAGTCCCAAATCTGTCCGAAACGTAAATTTCCCAGCATAAGTGCCCTCACGGGTGCACGTGGCGCGTGCCATCCCTGCACCGCACACCATTCGATAGCCCTTTCGATTCTCTACACGATACCCCGTGGCGATTGGGCCCACGGTTACCGAGATACTGCACGGGGACCGGACCAGTGCCTGGCAAATTTAGTCATTTTCGCCCGGTTTTGCAAGCCGATTTATACATACATGTAAAGTCCATAACGCGAATTTGCACTTTTTGAGCACGCGTCATGTGCTCGCTATCAATCCGATCGAGCTGAGACCCTCAAAGGCACGTTGCCCATCCTTAATCTATAAGTTGCGCAAATTTCAGCGCACTTGGCGCAACGGTCGGGCCCGTACCCCGCGCTAAGTAACACCATGCCGGGACCTCGATAGCAGACAGAATCTACGTCACCACATCACCACGCCACAACAAACCCGGCCCATGGCAATACATGTCCCATATGAGCGCGTTAACCCTCGCCGGCACAGGCCATTCCGGCCATTTTGCGTCCTTCGACGGCACAAGAGGGGGGGGGGGGGTGATACGACCCCTTCGTGTTTGGCCCATGATCGAGCTAGAGCTTCGCGGGAAATACGAGCGTGTTCCCCGTGACGAGAGGAAGCCGACGATACCCAATTTTAAGGTTCTTGGTAATTGGTTGACCTTCCAGATCAGGTCAATGACCGAAAAATCGGGAAAATCGGGACCTGTTAGAACGTCGTTAATTGTGGCTGCTATAGGGTTTTTCGGGGTACTGATCATGAATAGTTATCATATTAGTTTTGATCACAGATGATGTCTTTATGCATTTAAGCCAGGTCGGGTCAGGTCAGGTCAGGTCAACCAGTACACTGTAAAAAATATTGACGAGCTATGTGTCAAAACAAGGGTCTCGAAACAGTCACCAGGTTGTCAATGCTTCCGGTACCTACCACTTGACTAGTTACCGCTTAGTTTGCTTACAGGCTGAGAACTATCCAGATCGTTATGATCCGGTATTGTAATGATACCCTAGGTGTACCTTTGTTTTGAAGTGCTGAATTAACTATCAAGGTTGTTTGACGTTTGTTTTCGCCTCAATCCGAAACGAGGAAGACCCTCATCAAATTATTAGGTGAAAGCCAGCCTCAGGATGATCAAAATACTAGGGGTAGTTTTGTCATAGTAATCTGTGAAGGGTGCGGAACAAGCCGTAGCAATGCACTCGTCACTAAACCAGCCTGAGATTATTCGCCAGGTAGCTGCTGCGTTTCCCTACTTGCTGAATCATGTTTGCAACTTTCCATTTCCAGACACTTTTTACGGCAAATAAATTTTTGGGTTATTTGGAAGGTGAATGAAAATTTTATTTCTATAAGTCAATACATTTGTATTTCCGATTGCCCTAAAACTTTTTTTTTAATCGTTTGCGGTAGGTTTTTATTGTTCGCAATAACCCTCGCCCGCACATGCCATTTTCCCATCCTAGAACGCACATGGGGGGGGGGGGGTGGTTGCCACTAGTGATGTCAAATACAGAAAATCTGAATACCGATACCAAACCAAATACCAACATAAACCATGAAGAAAAACCGATACCAAACCAACTTCAGTGGCGTATCCAAGGGGGGACCCTGGGGGTCCTAGGGTCCCCCCTGGAGCAAAAAAAATTTTTTTTTTACTCGAAAAAAATTGAAAACACTTTGAGGGCCCTTTTCACCACTTACATTTTTTTTACATAATGAAAAGTATCAATTACATTTTTAGGGACCCTTTTAGGACTATCAGAGGACCCCTTTAGGCCAACGAGGGACCTTGTAGAGTAAATTAAGGGCCCTTTACAACGAACAGGACCTTCTCAGGCACACAGAGGGCCCTCTCAGACACACAGAGGGCCCTCTCAGGCACTCAGAGGGCCCTCTCAGGCACTCAGAGGGCCCTCTCAGGCTTTCAGAGGGCCCTCTCAGGCACTCAGAGGGCCCTCTCAGGCACTCAGAGGGCCCTCTCAAGCACTCAGAGGGCCCTCTCAGGCACTCAGAGGGCCCTCTCAGGCCCGAGGGCCCTCTCAGACATCTTGAAGAGGTCGAAAAGAGCCCTCTGAGCTCAAAGAGGGCCCTCTGAGATCAAAAAGGGCCCTCGGAGGCAACAGAGGGCCCTACAATGCAACAATAGAGCCCCCTGTGGTCACCAAAGGGCCCTCTGAGGCAAATAGGGGGTCCTTTTAGGCAAACAGAGGGCCCTTTGAGGCAAACAGAGGGCCCTTTGAGGCAAACAGAGGGCCCTCTGAAGGGGCGAATAAAGGGACCCTCTGAGACGAACGGGGGCCAGAGCCCAGAGGGCCCTCTCAGGCACTCAGAGGGCCCTCTTAGGCTTTCAGAGGGCCCTCTCAGGCACTCAGAGGGCCCTCTCAGGCTCTCAGAGGGCCCTCTCAAGCACTCCGAGGGCCCTCTCAGGCCCGAGGGCCCTCACAGACATCTCGAAGAGGTCGAAAAGAGCCCTCTGAGCTCAAAGAGGGCCTTCTGAGATAAAAAAAGGCCCTCGGAGGCAACAGAGGGCCCTACAATGCAACAATAGAGCCCCCTGTGGTCACCAAAGCTAAGGGCCCTCTGAGGCGAACTGGGGCCAGAGCCCAGAGGGCCCTCTCAGACATCTCGAATAGGTCGAAAAGAGCCCTCTGAGGTCAAAGAGGGTCCTCTGAGATAAAAAAGGGCCGGCTCGGAGGCAACAGAGGGTCCTCCAATGCAACAATAGAGCCCCCTGTGGTCACCAAAGGGCCCTCTGAGGCGAATAGGGGGTCCTTTTAGGCAAACAGAGGGCCCTTTGAGGCAAACAGAGGGCCTTCTGAAGGGGCGAATAAAGGGACCCTCTGAGACGAACGGGGGCCAGAGCCCAGAGGGCCCTCTCAGGCACTCAGAGGGCCCTCTCAGGTACACAGAGGGCCCTATCAGGCACACAGAGGGCCCTCTCAGGCTCACAGAGGGCCCTCTCAGGCACACATAGGGCCCCCTCAGGCACACAGAGGGCCCTCTCAGGTACACATATGGTCCTCTGAGGGCTCTGAGACACACAGAGGGCCCTCTCAGGTACACAGAGGGCCCTCTCAGGCTCACAGAGGGCCCTCTCAGGCACACATAGGGCCCCCTCAGGCACACAGAGGGCCCTCTCAGGTACACAGGGGGCCCTTTCAGGCACAT